TGCTTCTGTTGTCCTCATTTGTAAGTCGCTTTGGATAAAAGCGTCTGCTAAATGACTAAATAAATAAAATAAATAAATATCTAACCATAATAATACCATACCATATGAAATACCACAAAAACTCTAACATGCACACACACACTTTCTTACTCTGTCTCTCTTTCCTAGCAGGCATGGATTGTGTAGAGGAGGAGGTGGATTTTAACTGGGAGGAGTACCTTGAAGAGACTGGAGCCACTGCCGCCCCTCACACTTCATTCAGACATGTGAGAACACACAGACAGAATGTCTCTGTCTCTGTCTCTCTCTCTCTCTCTCTGTCTCTCTCTGTATACATAAACAAACACACACTTACTATCATTCAAATGTTTGGGATCAGTAAGATCTTTAATATGATGCTGAAAAATTCAGCTTTGCCACCACAGGAATAAATTATATTTTAAAGTAAATATTTCACAGTATTTGTTTTCACTGTATTTTTGATCAAATAAATGCAGCCTTGGTGAGCATGAGAGGCTTATTTAAAAACATATTAAACATTTTAGAAATCATTTATAGTTTAAAGTATATTCAAATAGAAAATATTTCTTTTAAGGGGAGACACTGCAGGCAAAAACAGTTTTTTCATGCACCTGTCAAGTTTGAGATTTGGGGCTTTTTGGTTTTTCATAAAGTGTTTTTTCAGACTAGTGGAAAGAAAGCATCCAAAAGACACTGTTAATTGTTTCTTTTATAGCACTTTATCTATTTGTGTCAATAGATTTCTATTATAATACTTCTAATATTTCTCAAAATGAGTTTTTTTTCCTACACCGAGCCATAAATCTCCACTTCAGTAGCCCTTACACACACCAAACTTTACATTTTTATTCCTGTCTATATCCTGAAGGTTTTTACAGAGGGATTTGTTCATGTATAATTTGCTTGATTATATACAACATTTTATTCCCCTCCAAATTGTGAAAATGTAGTGTTTTCTCTCCGTTCTAAGCATTTTCTGAATTATAGAGTGACAAAAATGAGAGACCCAAAATTCCCTCTGTAAAAACGTTTGACTCTTATATGGCAAAAAAATTAAAAAAAAAAATGTAACAAGAATTTTGAAACTGACATCATCCAGTGTTTAGATTTTTGTACTAGAAATGTATGCAAATTAGCGCATATTTCAATAAATATTTAAACCTAGCATTTTAGAAAACTTGTAATACAAAAAATGTTTGCAATTCTCAATGTAATCAATCAGCTGGGTAAGTAAGGCGATAACTATTAGTTTTTTTTTTTACTCTATTCACCTGCAGTGTCTAGCCTTAAGTTGTAATAATTTTAATATTTGTAATTGTAATAATATTTCACAATATTACTGTTTTTACTGTATTTTTGATCTAATAAATGCAGCCTTGGTGAGCATAATAGACTTCCTTCAAATATATTAAATATTTATTTGGGAGTCTCCTACAATAGGTTTACATGCATGCAAGGTCAAAAAACACTTTTGTTTTCTCAAAATATGTATTTACTTTCACCTCATTTTCCAAGGATTCTCAAACGATTCATTCGAAGCAGTTCTAAAATTCAGTCTCTCTAAACCCCTCCTTTCCGTGAGCCTGCTCTGCTCTGATTGGTCAGATGGCCCAGTCTGTTGTGATTGGTGTACCGCGTACAGCGCGTGTTGGAAATCATTTGCCCATTGCCATAGTTCCATATTTTGAACGCTTGATAAAAAATATAAACATTTATTATTTATCATACATACAGGTTGTGATACAGTGGAGCCAGCTGGTCCAAATAAACTGGGTACTGAGCCATCTTTCAAGAGCGAGTGTTTTGTGAATCCCGCGTTGAACTCCCCGAGATTAGAGAAGCAGACGTCAGTAAAATTACAGGAACACAAAAATAGGCGGGCATTATGGAAATGTGTTACCCCGTGATGTGTAGCCGTCAAAGAAGTGGGATTCGGGATACTGACGACTCGTTTAGGCTGTTCAGAGTCGATTCTGTCTTTTGGGAGAAAATAACTTTATTTAAACTTTGCAGATCATTAACATTCACATACAGCTACAATACACACTGCATGAAAGGAATTTTCGAAATGGCATAATAGGGGCACTTTAAAAAACCTTACAGAGCCCAAACGTTTGAATGCATTTTGAATTGAATTGTTGATGTTGTAAATGGTGTTTTGGCACAAAGTTACTTTGTAAAAGCTAGAAAAGACATATTCCAACATGGGCACATAGTGTAACATGTTTCACTTAAAAATCATGAGCAAGGTTAAAAATACAACCCAGAAAACATGAAATACAGGTTAGGTTTGGTGCTGTGTTGGGTTGATGTCTAATGCCAAATAAGGTCCTGAGAATCACACACATTAACAAAATAGGAGGAGTGCAATTTAACGGTAACACTTTACAACAAGGTTTATTAGTTAATTAACTACTTTAGTTAACATGAACTCAGCATGAACAATACTTCTGCAGCATTAATCGTAGTTAATGTTAATTTCAACATTTATTAATGCATTATTAAAATCAAAGGTTGTGCTGGTTAACATTAGTTAATGCACTGTGAATTAACATGAACTAACCGTGAGCGACTGTTTTTTCATTAACTAACATTAACAAAGATGTATAAATACTGTAATACATGTAATGCTCATTGTTCATTCATGTTAGTTAAACTAATGGAACCTTATTGTAGAGTGTTACCCAGTGTTTTGAGACCATCAATAAGCCCATATATTTTTCATGGAAGAATACATCAAATTTGCATTATTACATCACACTAATCTGACTTAACCTCACAGGTGGAGCTCAGCCTTCAGAGCAGTTTTCAGCCTGGAATGAAGCTTGAAGTAGCTAATAAGGGCAGTCTGGATACATATTGGGTGGCCACCATTATAACCACATGTGGTCAGTTGCTATTGTTACGCTACTGTGGCTATGGCGACGACCGCAAGGCTGACTTCTGGTGTGACGTCATGACAGCCGAACTTCATCCTGTCGGCTGGTGCGCTCAGAACAACAAAACACTTCAGCCACCTAAAGGTAAGGCGCAAGTGCACACAAACGTAAACCAGCACACCTTCAGAGATGCATGTATACTCAAACATAGATAAAGCTCATGTTGAAACAGTCCCTCCTGTCTAAACATATGACATCCACCCACACACAAACACACACACACACACCCCCACACAGCTTCTTGCTATGTAGCAAGTCCACCTTGTTTGTTCAAATAACCGCACCAAGAGTTTAAATATTTATGCTAATCAAACGAACAATGCAAAGTTGTTTGAAAATAAACACCTTGTCCAAAATACAATACAATACAATACAATATTTATTTATAAAGCACATTTAAAAAACAACCGAAGTTGACCAAAGTGCTTTACAGAATAGAATAAAAACATTGAAATAATAATAAATAAAACAACAATTTAAACATTTAAAACACGACAATAATAAAACAATAACTGAACCAATGATCAAGGGGTATTGAAAGCTAGAGAGAACAGATATGTCTTTAGAGCAGACTTAAAAGTAGAAATAGAGGGAGCTAATCTAATGTGAAGAGGAAGCCTGTTCCAGAGTTTCGGACGATTTTACAACATACTGATCTGTTTGTCAAATTTTAAGTTATGATCAAACAGAACGACCAGATTTCTTGCACATTGAGCTTCATATGGGGCCAGAGAGCCACAGCCAACATCTAACACACAATTTTCCTTATGCCCAAATATAATTATTTTGGTTTTATTTTCATTTAAATTTAGAAAATTGCTTTAAAAGCCAAAGCTTAAGTTCGTCTAAGCAGGCCAACATTGGTTGTAAGCCATTTTTATCATAATGATTTAAAGGAAAATATATCTTGAGTATCATCAGCATATAGATGAAAGGTTACTTGTTAAAAATGGAAGCCAGAATTTGTGAGCATTTGTGAGAATTTGTGAGCACTGTAATGTCTATAACAGCTGGAAAGCCTGAGACAGGATTGTTTTCTTCCAAAGCTGGGATTGATTCTTTGGAACTGGAAGCAGGTTATCAGTGTTATCCAACAGACCATATAATTTTTTCATGAACTTGAACCTGTATTTTCAATGTTTTCCCAAAAACAGCAATGGTTAACAGTCACAACTCTCTATAATAATCCAGCACTTATTATTTTGTGCATGTTTATATTGTTAACACTTTCTATTATTGTATAATTCGCTATTATTGTTAGTAAAAATAAGTTCTTAGTGTAGTATAAAATTTCTTACTGTAATCCTGAAAAATTATTTGCTTTAGACAGTCCATGGCCCAAATAAAGTTAGATAGGGTTAGGGGTATGAAACAAATGTAACTGAAATGGAAACTTAAGACTTGAGAACACAAGTTACACATTTGCTGAAGATGTTTCACTATCCTAAAGAGCAGATTCGTTAGAGTAGAATAAAACATAATTAGAGTTAGAAATTAAACTCTTGGAAAGTCTGTGGAGTTAATATAAAAATTGTAAAAAACGTATTTGGGAAAGATTAGAAATACAGGACAGGTGTGGGTTTAATGAAATAAATATCTACTGGGCCAGAAATTAATTATAATTTTAAGATTTAAAAAATCATTAATATAAATCTATAATTTTATAAGTTTATACGTTTTTTTATTGAAAAAGATTGTTTATAAAAACCATATTTGCTGTGATTTTCAGGTTTGCAGAAGTAACCAACGGCAATTAACCAAAAAAATTAAAAATCATGACATTTTCATTGGAAAAATGGAGCGCATATTATTTGTCTTTCTAGTTATTGCTCAGATGTACACTATTTCTTGCCACAAGTGCAATTTCTATACAATTTTCAAAAATCCATATCCAGCAGTCACAAATAAGTGGAAAAAATTCAATTCATTGGTCCATCTAAACACACGTATATCAGATCTTAGGCTACAGGCCACATGACTATTTTAGGTTTACAGCATTCCTTGTTGTACTGAGGTATAGCAGAACTTTGCCGTTTGCCTACTCTGTACAACAGATTTGAGATTTGAACCCTTAAACATGCGGCGTATGACTTCCACCTCTGGGTTGCTGTCAAATATTTGCAATGCTCTCAAATGTATTGTATTTTATCATATCATTTAATCCTACATGCTTTGACATTAAGACTTAAAGTGTGTCAACAAACAGGTTATAACAGGTAATCATGGAGCCTGACAGCGTCTTTTTCCTGTCAGAAACATTTGACCTGATCTCCCCCAAGACATCTTTAAATCATAATTTGGTGGATTTACTAATGTTTGACAATTTCAGTATCTTTTTGAAGCACTCCACACTTCATAGAATGGGTATCATTCAGTAAAAAAAAAGAGAAACTAGCTAATTTGTTAAACCTGTCCTGGGAGAATCTGACCATATTATGCCCATATTAGAAAAGGTTATTTTGGCAGAAAAGTTTTTGAACGAGAAAGATAATCTGTTGAACAAAGTGTTCTGTTGTCAAATGTATGCCTGAAAGGTCAAGCAGCAATAACAGGCGATGCTGATCCCAATTCTGGCAGGATATTACATTATAATAAAACATATGCAGTGTTTTAACATGTCTGATTCTAGTTGGCTTGGGGACAACACTGAATTTGAATCATTCTTAATATTGCATAATAGTGTTCAGTCACAATAGATGGCTTTAAAGTGATAGTTCACCCAAAAATTCTAATTCTGTCACCATTTATTCACCCTCATGCCGTTACAAACTTTTATGACTTTCTTGTCTGGAACATGAAAGAAGTTATTTTAAGAATTTTTTTTCTTCCATTCCATATTCTATAAATTGTCTGATAACCAACATGCATTCAGTTTTAGAATGAGTCAATGCTGACAGAATTGTATTTTATTTTTTCCAAGTGTGCGTCAGTAGCACATTCATATTTTTCTCTCTTAACCTTATACATTTCATATAAACTTGATCTCATATAGTGATGTGTTGCATTCTGCCACTGTAGCAAGATCATCTTGAAGGGATTTATTTTGCGATAATGACTAGCTGATTTGAGCTATTTTCCTGCTTTTTACTTGGATGCATATTTTAGCAATGAGGAAACTATGCCACTGGTATTTGATTGTAGTATTGGATTTTTTTATTTAAATTTAAAATTGACCTGTTTATTTCATCCATCCATTATGCATATTAAAGGAGCATTCCAGGTTAAATACTCTATGCAATACAGTATGCATAATGTAAAATTCAACTGTATGGAATGCATTTGTGGAATGCTGTCGGTTACTACCGAGAATACTTTCAATTTGAAAAAAAAAATATGTAGTAATCCACTGTCAGTGTACACTCTAAAAAATAATGAATTAGCTCAACAACAACAACAAAAAAGTAACACAACAGTTTGCATAATTTTTTTTGAGTTATGACAGCTTAAAAACCACGTTCAACCAACAAACTACATTGAGTTAGAAGAACTTAATAATTTGTAACAACTAATGGATTTGTGAGCCTGGAAGCAATTTATATTATCTTTTTTTTTCAATTCAAATCCACAGCTATCATAGCACATGCTAAATGTAACTTATGTAGCAGCATGTATAATGAACAAGTAAGAAGTTACTTGTCACTGGCATTAGCGCAGCCATTGCTAATAGAGTCAATGTAGTGTTTACCTTCATGTGGTCTACTCTTCAGCACAACGGTAAACACAAAAACTTCAACATAACAGAAACTGTTTTAAATGTCAAACATAACAGGGTTAAACACTAACAGGTCCTTCCCTTCACTAAAAAACACATAAAACAACACTTAATTTCAACATTTACTCTCCTTGTTCAGTCTTATGCAAAGCATGCAGGGAGCTAGAAATCCACTACCCAATTTCAAAGTGAACAAGACAATTTAATTGAGTTATTTTAACTTAATTTTTAAAGAAATTCAATCAGTGCAGAAATTTGAGTTTAAATTACGCACAAGTTAATGGAATGATCAACATTATGTCAACTGAAGTCATCAAAATAATGTATGCAACTTAAAAGGTTTAATTGAAATTATTACATTTTAAGAATTATTTAATTTGAAGAACTTTTAACTTGCAGCCATGCGTTTATTTAAGCTGTGGTAACAGGCCCCCTGAATCATTTTTTTTTAGAGTGATACAGTTGCCTCTAGGCTTCCACTGTAATTATATGTTTGTATACATGTTTTAGTTTTTGTAAAAAAAAATGGTAATCTGTAAAATTCTGTAAAATGGCAACACTTTACAATAAGGTTCCATTAGTTAATGTTAGTTAATGCATTAACTAACATGAACAAACAAAGAACAATACAGTTATTACAGTATTTATTAATCTTTGTTAATGTTAGTTAATGAAAATACAGCTGTTCACTGTTAGTTCATGTTAATTCACAGCGCATTAACTAATGTTAACAAGCACAACTTTTGATTTTAATAATGCATTAGTAAATGCTGAAATTAACACTAGCTAAGATTAATAAATGCTGTAGAAGTATTGTTCATGCTTAGTTTATGCTAACTAAAGTAGTTAACTAATGAACCTTGTTGAAGTGTTACCCGTAAAATAGTAATAAACTTAATTTAAGTGTACTTGAGCACTTAAATATTGATTTAAAATGACTAGTTAATAAATAAGCATTAACGTTTACTTTATTTATGGTCATTTCTTTTTATTTCTCATTTATTCAAATGCAAAGTTGCTGTTACTGTCAAGCAATCAGTCAGTTTTTTGTGTGTGTTTTCAGAAGAAATAGATAAAATCTGTGTTTGCATTTCTAAGATAAGATGCAGTCTGACACCGTCAACAATTGCCAGAAGCTCTGAAGCAGGATTCTGTTTCAAAGAAAGTTCAGTTAGTGGTTGAAATATTCTCCAAAATGGTTCTGCAGTGTTAAAGAATGCAGGTGTTTCAAAACCCATTGAAAATGGTTTGACTGGTGCACTTCACATTCCTGTGTTGATGTGTTGAAACAGGAAGTTGGGGCAGAACATACAGCACTCCCTCCCCTTTTTATATAACAGCCAATAGCCTTTAGTTTACATCACAGCCCAGTAAACCACACATAGCCACTTCCTTCACAAAGAAATATAGGTAATGTATTACATTTAGCACCAAAAATAAACCATAGTCTGCTACTTGTTATGGGAGGCTGATGGTATTTATAATCTTTTTATCATTTAGAATTAAAAGGGCATTTTCATTCTAGAGATCATTTAATTGGACATTAACATTTTTGGTTTTGTAACAAACATTTAATTAATGTTTACACAAGCATATAGATGTTAGCCCCAAAACTAACATACATGGGCTGAAATTTGGTGTTTAAACTGATTAAGAGAAGGTTTTTACATCGCAACACATTTGAATCATTCAGCCAGTGAACAACTGCAACATGTCATACTGTAATTTACGTCATGTGTTTTGACAGGAAAATAACTGATGGTCGAAATAGAGTTCTTTAGCATATAATCAAATGGTTTATGGAAAACTATTGTCATCATGACCCATTAACATTAGCAAAGTTAATTTCATTGCGTGCCAGAAGATATACGACTAAATTAAATGCAAGTAAATGCCATTAATTAGGTTTTATAGTGTGTACAGAAGCTTAATTTAAAAAAATGTGTAGGCGCAGCCAGGAATATTGTTTGTTTTACCGTGTTTAATTAGCGCCTAAAGTAATGTTTTGTTTGTATGCATACATTTATGAGTGTGTGTGAGTGTGTATGTTTAGTCAGTGTGTACTTGTTGGTCATCTTTGTTCCTGTCTGTTTATTTTTCTCAGATAACGTTTACCTCAGAGCAGGTAAGCCGAGCCTACTTCTCTTTCTCTCTCTCTCTCTCTCTCTCTCTCTGTCTGTCCTCTTTTCTCTCAGACCAAGGGCAAAGGTTTGCTTTCAACTTTTTCAAATCAAATAAGCAAAAGCACCATGTTTTCACCATATGATATTGCCTGTTATAGCTAAACCGTTATTTAGAAAGAGTATACGTATGTAGGAGTTTGTAAGGTGTAGCTCTTGAAAATTTGCTGAAAACTCACCGTCAGACCATCCGAGGTGTAGATGAGTTTGTTTCTTCATCAGAACAGATTTGGAGAAATTTAGCATTACAGTATATCACTCACTCACCAACGGGTCCTCTGCAGTAAATGGGTGCCGTCAGAATGAGAGTCCAAACAGCTGATCAACACATCAATAGACACGACTCGTATTTTGGCCAGAAGCGACAGTTTAAAGTTAAAATGCCTTAACGTTGGATTTGTTTTTTTACGAACATGCAGCTTTTCATTTCGTCGTGTGGATTATTGTGAGGTTTTTATCAGCTGTTTGGACTCTCATTGTGACGGCACCCATTCACTGCAGAGGATTTATTAGTGAACAAGAGATGTAATGCTACAGTTCTCCAAATCTGTTCAGATGAATAAAAAACTCATCTACATCTTAGATGCCCTAAGGGTTAGTTCATTTTAAGCAGATTTCAGTTTTTGGGCAAACTATTCCTTTAAGATTATTTTATTTCAAAATGTGTACAGCCATTGTTTATTTTATACACTGTGAGTGAGTCTAAAAGTCACTAAAATTATTTAAAAAAAAATGTTGTATCTTTAAAATTAAGTTGCATAATTATCGCAAGTGAAAAGGTAAAAAAAAATTATGGGACAGAAATCTAATTTTATCACACCTACATCTGGACAGTTCCAACTGTGTCACACTTCCCTTAGATCATTTACATTTAACTGCAAAATTCGGTCATCATCTACCCACTCTTGGTGTTCTTTCCTTGTGTAACAAAAATTTCAAAGCTGCTCTTTTCCATGCAACAAAAGCCATAATAATCACTAGCTGTCGGATTCTGTTTGCTTGTATTTTTAAAATAATTTGAACGTGGTTCTCCTTTCACACTGAACAAAAACTACACTATTATTAGTTCTATTTTTGAAAATAGTTCTTAAAAAAATCTAACTGCTGCAAACCTACAAAATGAGAAATTGTGAAGGATCTTCTATAACGACTCATTAGTTTTGTTTGATGAACAAACGCAATGCAAGTTGTAATTCACTCAAATTCTTGACTATCTGTTCTATTATTCTTTCTTTAATGAGCAAATTCTTATTTTTATTTCAAATTCTCCTTACTATTCTTATTGATGTTATGGTATTGATGTTATGATTGTTATGGTTCATAAAGCCTGTCTCGACTTCTCGACACACTGGTCATATTGACTACTTTTATGATTATTTTAATGGTGTTTTTATAGTTTTTAAAAAAATATTTTTTAAATATGTTTTTTGCTCCAGTCCCAATTCATTGTCCAGTCCCAATAGCTCCAGTCCCAATTCATTGTCAAGTCCCAATAGCTCCAGTCCCAATTCATTGTCAAGTCCCAATAGCTCCAGTCCCAAATAGCTCCAGTCCCAATACCTCCAGTCCCAATTTGTTTTGTGTGTATGAAAAAGAGTGGCTATAGCAACTTTTTTTCTTCTTTAATTTCGCCTTTTGTGTTTCGTGGAAGAAATTAAGTTGTACAGGTTTGTAGTACCACGAGGGTGAGTAAATGGTGACAGAATTTTCCATTTTTGTGAACTAGTCCTTCAACTTTGGTCGATACACGTCGTCTCACATGCACCCAAATCTACGCCCATGTCTCAGATGTGTTCTGGGTCTTTTTCTATATTTCTCATCTCATCTTTCTCAGACATCCTCCAGAATTCCTCTTCTTTCTCATAATGTCTTGTTTTTCTCATCCCTGCAGCATTGTCTGTTTATCTTCCTTCCTTGTTCCTTATGCTTGTTTGCTCAGTTCTGTGAATTAGATTATGTGAGTATGAATGAGAGTGTGTGAGAGGTGTGAACTTTATGGTGGTTTCAGCGTGAGCTTGTGTATTTGCATGCATTTGTGTAGCTGAGACATACAAAGTTTTAAGGCAACTCCGGAGGTCATATGTAAAGCTACTTAGCCTGGCATGCTTCACTTGGTGCACGCTCATGTTTGCACGTATATCATGCTCTGTGAAACCCATTTTACACTTTCTGTTTCCGGTGCAAAAACAACTGTTAAATGTAAAACATTATGCATACAGATAAAAACATTTATATATTATTTATATATTATGACCTCTGATAAAAAATGCCAGATAATAAAATGAAACAATACAAATAAGACAAAATTGTTTAATAACAAATATATATATATAACTAAATTAATAAGTAAATATAAAAATAAAATATACTTTTTTAACTAAATAAAAGATAAAGGAAATATTTAAAATACTACAATTTAGGCATCTCAACATAATGTACACTATGAAATATGAACCAAGATTTTTTTTTTTTCTTCTCCGCCGGGAGTTTGATTGACAGGCAATCTGACCAATCATAGTGCAGAATCTGCCATTTTGTCTGACAAACAATCCAGACAGGAGAGTAGATCAACTTAAGTAGACTTGAACTTGAAAAATTATGTGTATTGACATCTTTCCGCGGTTGAAACAAGAGACCTTCTGATGTTCATTCATGTTTATTTCGTGCTATAGATAGTAAAGAGGAAGAGATGATCGGTTCACGTGCCGTTTGAACTGAGAAACTACAGTGATCTGTTATGACAAATTAAAGAGCCACAAAACAGTATTTATTGTTTGAATTTATTAAAAATCACAAAATTAAAAAGCGGAGACTTTGTTTCATACCAAAATTAACCCGCTCTGTTGGCGAGTTGTCAGTGTCCTCTTTGCTCCGCAAGGTATTTATCTGCAATTTACGTTAAAGTGACATGGCTTGTCAGACGAAGCAACAGTAACAAAGGGGGGTGGGGGGGG